GTTCTATCTATTGATGGGAAAATGAGTAATGCTGCCAGTTAATTGCTACCTTTACCCTTCTTGATCCACACTCTAAGCAATACCAGTTGTGGCCAGTTATTATTAAAAATCAACAAGTACATAGGCACTAAAATAAGAATACGTGGATGCTATTGCCAAATGAAGAGTTTTTTTCTGCCCCAAGAGGTGAATCAGTTTGAGAAAAAGTAATAAATATGATATAAGGAAGTATAAATATTCAATTAAGTCCTGCAATCTAATTTTACTCCTTCTTGGATGTAGAACCTTTTTCTTCTTGGATACAGAGACCAAATCCAACCACTGTCCTCCATTCCGTCACCTTCAGCCATTCTGCAGGTGCTGGGAAAGGCTCTACAGATATTCCTTTTAGGACAATAATATAGCTGACCCTTGAACAACACAGCTTTGAACTGCATAGGTCCACTTATACATAGATTTTTTTTTCAATAAATACTATAAATATTTTCTTTTCCTTGTAATTATCAATAAAATTCTATTTTTTGTAGCTTACTTTATTGTAAGAACACAGTGTATAATACTTCTAATACAAAATATGTGTTAATTGATTGTTTATGTTATTGGTAAGGCTTCCAGTCAACAGTAGGCTATTAGTAGTTAAGGTTTTGGGGAGTCAAATGTTATATTTGGATATTTGACTGACAAAGGGTTGACAACCCTAACCCCCAAGAGTCAACTGTATAATATAATGACGAGTTCTGGGAAGCCAGTAGACAGCAGCAGACCAGTCTGCTATACTGGATAGCAGAAAACTATATTATTAATCTACCCTTATCCTTCACTCCTGTATCATTTCTTAACTACTCTGGTTATCTGGAGCTATTAAGTACAGGTTGATAAAATCAAGTTGTTGTTGTTGTTTTTTAATCAGGCTGGACAGTCTCCAACACACCTCATATCCAGCACAGGATGCCTGCCCTCTTTATTCCTTCCTTAACCCCGAAATTAGGTAGCAGCTAACAGGGTCAGCAGGGAGAAATTGATGGCACTCAGTGTAATGACAGTTTCATCATGAGATAATAGTTTCCAAAACCCCTATTCAAGGGTCATGGCTAATTTCTTTGTTGTGATTTCTTACCATTTGTAATCTGAGAGCCAGATCTTCCAGAGACTCTAAATTAATGGTTGGGAACTTTTATCTTCTATATTTCCCCTTATATTCCATTCCCATCCCCTTCCCAAGCTTCTACCCTGTCTTCATCTGATAGTCAAAAGATCACGAATACTGTCTTCTTCAATGGAGCATTAGGGAACATTGGGACAGCAAGTGGAAAATGTCTGGAATCAGAGCAAGGGGTTAATTTAGTAAATTATTAGTTTCTCTTGTCAGCTCAACTGTTGCCATTAAGATTTTTCAGACAACGTCTAGACTTCTTCAAAGACTCTTTATTCGACTGTCTCTCCAAAACTCTCTGCCAATGTTTCTCAACCTTTTTTACATTATTTTCAATCCCCACTTAAGGTGCCCTTTTAGACTTTTTTTTTCCTAATCACATCCCCTCCCTATGAAATATTAACACTAGAGATAGATTGTTAATCGAGGACCACACACCATTGTAATACCAAAGATTTTTCACCTCCTAATATCCAATTTTGACCTTTTGGGGCAATATATTTTTTCTTTTTGATAATGCATGCTCTATAATAATAAGCTACCTTTTGAAAATTTTCCAAACTAACCAAACATTATGAGTTAATTTATTTACTCTGTATGTGACAATTTTCTTTTATCCTAAATATCCTTTCCCCTTTCCTAGTCTTATTTATTGACATTGAGAAAAGTATTGAACAATATAAACCAATCAAAATGCATGGGTGTGTATTTGTGTGTCTACTATTAGTATAATTGCAAAACAGCTTTAGCTAAAATATGGAGAACTAAATCCAGGGAAGTTTTTGAAATTCTGATAAAGTATATCATTTATATAGACTTGACAGATGTATAGAGTTTTCACACAGAAAAATAAAATGAGATTATTATTTTCAAAAAAATATTATGACCTGCATGACTTGGTTTTAGTCAGAATCGTGGGCTAATGGGTAATGCTTACAGACTTTCAGATTCTGTCCTTGACTTCTTGTAACTGATACTGGGGAGGCCAAGGATTACACAATTATGGGTATGAAGTCATGCAAATTAGAAATGGCATTTTACTCTCTGCAGCTGAAAGGGCATATAAAGTGCAAGCATTAACAAATCCAAAAACTCAACTAGAAGAAGACTTCTTGATGGAAATATTAATGAGTAAAACAAAACTATAAAAGATTGATCTTAAGCCTAAACTTTTTAAGTTTAGTAAGAAAATGTTATGCTGTAATTAAGTTGTAAAGTTATCAGAAAGGTAATAATGGCGCATTTTACATAAAACACTATAATGAAGTAATTCTATACATATAGGGGGATCTCTGGCCAGGAGTTGACTCCATAGTTTCCTGTACCTTACACACACACACACACACACACACACACACATACACACACACACAACTTCAGATGATTTGAATGTACTGAAATCTGCAGTTTACTTGTCATCAGAAAATATAATGAAGTTTCTTTGTTTCAAAGTTCAGAAGCTTTTTAGCGAAGTTCAAGGTAAGGACATACAATGAGCGAACAAGGTGGCTAATATGAATTTACCAGAGAACAGTCAAATGTTGCCAGCTCAAACAGTGAAGCCAACAAGATTAACTTGGTGATCTGAGGAGATGTGTTAGAACTGTGCAGAAGCAGAGGAAGATGTTATTGATGAAGGAAAACCTATGAGTCACTTCAGGTAGAAAGCAGAAACAGCTGCAAAACACTGGCAACATCAGCTGTAGTTGAGAATTGAGAAATAAATCAACTTCAGAACTTGGTGGAGGCCCAGAACATAAATAAACTGAATTAAAGTCTCTGGAACCCAATGACCCAGGTGTCCTCCGGAATAAAGGAAAACAAACAAGCTTGCTTAGGATAGCTGTTTAAAGAGCTTTACTTTTTTGCAAACAGTTGAAAAGCCTTCTGTGCCAGGAAATTAATTGCAGAAACCGGTCCCCCTATGGTACAGATGGAACCCCCAAATCCCTCTTCTCCCAGACTCTGAACTTCTGAGCCACTCTGAACCCCAGTGGGAAAGTCACGCTGGGGGACAGAATGGGCATACATCCACCTCCTAAAACTAAGCGATTTATAGAAAAGCTGTCAGTCTGTCCCAGGTGTGACTGAGACACTGAAATGCCTCGTTTCCTCCTTCTCCACTAAAACAATAAAAATTAAAAGAAGTCACCCAGAGAAAGTCACTCTTGAGTGCCTCCGTCTACTTTAAGTGTCTCATCTATGTGGGTTTCAAGTTCAAAAGGTTAAGAGCTTCGCCAATGGGCGGCGCAGCCTGCAACTTTCTGCAACTCCAGGGATCTGGAATCAGTACCCCTTGGGTATCAAATCGACTTCTCCAGAGCGTGGGGAGAGAGCCACCTCACCCGTCCCATTGCCTCCTGCACGCATCCCTCACATGTCCATCCTATTCCAGAAAAAAAGGGGGCTCTCAGGACTGGGGGTCTGAGGACGGACATGAAACCCCCCACACCACAATGCATTCACCAGTGTTCGCGTGAGAGAGAGACAACGAGAGGACAAGAAAAAATGATTGTTTTTACTAAAATAAGTAAATAAAATCCGAGCCTCTTACCATCTCGCCTGAGGTTGGCGTTGCGCAAAGCTTTGATGGATGCGCTCTGCGGGGCTGCAGAAGTGTCCCGGTAGCTGCAAAAGTTTGCGCAGATGAGAGTGTAGACAAGGATGAGCCGGGGCATTGGGACCGGAGACCGAGGGACAGCCTTGCTCTCAGAAAAACCTGGGCGATCTCCCGGGAAGGCCGCCGCCGCACCGCGC